CACCTGGGCCCAGAAGGAGATGAGGCAAAGATGCAAAACCCCCAGAGATCCTGCAGTCTGATTATTAGCCTTGATTGGCCTTAGAGCAGTGGTTCTCAACCTGTGGGTCGCGGCCCCTTTGGCAGTCGAACGACCCTTTCACAGGGGTCGCCTAAGACCACCCTGCATATCAGATATTTATATTATGATTCATAACAGTAGCAACATTACAGTTATGAAGTAGCAACGAAAATAATTTTATGGTTGGGTCACAACATGAGGAACTGTATTTAAAGGGCCAGAAGGTTGAGAACCACTGCCTTAGAGCAAGCAGGTCAAAATCCAGGCCCAAGGGCTGCATCCGACCCACAACAAATAGTGTGGCCCAGCCAATATAACGGTATGTAAGAAAAGTTTTAATAAAAATTTCACAACTTAATTTTTATAATATCCTGTTATACATAATTATTAATAACGAACTACAACATTCGCTAATGACCGATTGCTATCATCGTGTTGCACTCATTTCCCTTACGCACCTTATGCGCACGTGCACCATTTCTCTCCACTAATACTAGCAGCGAATATTTTAGCAGCTGATGGCCACGTCATTAATCTTGGACTGGCTTGTTTGGTGTGCGCAACAGGAAATATTTCACTTTCAGAGGACATTAAATAGGTTAATTTGCGTTACGCTTATTAATTTGTGCAGTTTTCAGTGTCTGGTAAGTTAATGTTCAAGAAAAAATATTAATTTTTATTAAAAGTTCTATTATTTTATGCTAACAATGACTCATTTATTTCAGCCCTTTGTATTCAGCCTGTCTCTATTGAAATAAACCTACGTTTCTATGAAAATGGAAGCTTTTGTTTTTTTGAGGCCACATAAACTTACTAGTAGACCTTGTTTATTTGGCCCGTGTTAGCCTTTGAGTTTGACATGCTTGCAGAAGGACATCAGGCAAAGACTCAAAGCCTCCGCCTGCAGTCTGATTGTTATCAGCCTTGATTGGCCTTAGATGGGCTACAGGGTAGAGTGACTGTCTTTCCCCAGGTCAAAACCTCCTGGTTAGCAAAGGTCCCAGGAGAAAGATGCCCTCAGTCTCTATGGAGGCTCCACTTCCTGTCCTTGGTTATCAGGGTTCTCTGCAGCTAGTCTTCAGTTGATTTTTCAGGCTGGTTTTTCTATATTTTAGTTGTCTTTCCAGTTTGGTCCTGGGAGAGTGTTGGTGTAGCTTCCACTTACTCCACCGCCATTTTTAATCCTCTTAAACATTTTTTTCATTGAGGACAAAAAATACAAGAAAACCCAGTAACCTTTTACCAAGTAAACATACCAACTCAACTGTGGCCTGGATAAAGAGATAGATTATTACTGCCGCCCTCCCCAGATACCCACCAGGTGCCTTTGCCCAGTTTACATTTTCCCAAAGGTAATTGCTGTTTTGACTTCTATTTTTTTTAAATTAATTTTCCTCATTTTAGAACTTTGTGAATTGAATTATGCAATATGCACTCTTTTACATCTAGGTTTTTCCATTCAATATTATGTGTGTGAGATCTAGCCATGCTGTGTGTAATAGTTCACTCTTTTTCCATTGCTGTACAGTTATCTATTGTGTAAATATACCACAATTTATTTGTCCTTTTAATTTTGATGAACATTTGGTTGTTTTAATTTCCAGTGGTTTGAAATAATGCTACTGTAAGAAAATGACAAAAAAAGAAAAAAAGAAAAAAAAAAGAAATAATGTTATTATAATATTCCCATGCTTTTTGAGCACACATTTCTGTTCCAAGTCAGATATAGCATTTGGAGGATACATCAAAAATCTGTAAAATGTACTCAGAAATTATCCTAAGGAAAAAAGTTAGGGTAAAAAGGTTACCTATGCAGATGTTCTTTGTAGCATTTAAAAATAAATGTAGAAAATGAAAATCATCCTAAATTTTTAAGAACAGGGCATTGCTCTTATAAATTGTAGCATATCTTTGCAACAGAATAATATATTAAAATATTAAAAATTATGGCATAGAGTATATTTACTGCTAAGGAAATATTTATATGGCATCCTGTTAAGTGAAATTCTTGTTATAAGAGGTTATATATGTCCGGATCAAGTTTTATTTAAAAAACACCATATTTATATGTAAGTGATGTATGTGTTTATGTGAAAGGATCACAGCAAAATTGAACAGTGATATTTTGGGAAATGTAATGATGGCTGATTTTTCTTTTGGTTTCACTCCATTTTTCTATTTTTAAAAACTCTTTTTAAGTATGGCTATGAATTTGTCCTTGTGTTTGCAGTGAATAGCATACTACTTGGCGTGTGGTGGTTTTAAATAATGTATATTTTACTAGGAGAGAATACAAATTGTCACAAAACCAACAAGGTAAAAACAATTCAATTGCCGGAACCGGTTTGGCTCAGTGGATAGAGCGTCGGTCTGCGGACGGAAAGGTCCCAGGTTCGATTCCGGTCAAGGGCATGTACCTGGGTTGCGGGCACATCCCCAGTAGGAGATGTGCAGGAGGCAGCTGATCGATGTTTCTCTCTCATCGATGTTTCTAACTCTCTATCTCTCTCCTTTCCTCTCTGTAAAAAATCAATAAAATATATTTTTAATAAAAAAAAACAATTCAATTAATTTGGGCCATTTAAAAAAGGCCAAGATATCCTGGCTGGCGTGGCTCAGTCCTTGAGCGTTGACCTATGAACCAGGAGGTTGCAGTTCGATTTCCAGTCAGGGCATATGCCTGGGGTTGCAGGCTTGATCCCCAGTGTGGGGCATGCAGGAGGCAGACAATCAATGATTCCCTGTCCTCATTGATGTTTCTCTCTCTCTTCCCCTTTTCTTTTCTCTCTGAAATCAATAAGAATATATTTTAAAATAAATAAAGTAAAAAGGCCAAAATAATTAGTAATTAACTGCCATGGAAGACATTGGATATAATTTGCCATTTATTTACTCTTGGAGCGCTACAGGGCAGCATGACTTCGATTGCAGAGCTCTATATTTGAGGCTCTACACTAGTCACCACTGTGACCCTTTGCACGGACTGCAGGCCACTTACTTCTTTTACCAATGATTTTGGATCCAGCTCCAAAGATGGCCCATACTTCAGATGCACTTTCTTTTTCTTTTTCTTAAAAACCAGTTTTATTGATTTCAGAGAGGAAGGGAGAGGGAGAGGGAGAGAGAGATATAAACATCAATGATGAGAGAGAACCATTGATCTGAGAGAGAACCATTGACCGGCTGCCTCTGCACGCCTCCTACTGGAGATTGAGACCATAACCTGGGCATGTACACTTGACCAGAATCGAACCTGGGACTATTCAGTCTGCAGGCTGAAGCTCTATCTACTGAGCCAAACCAACTAGGGCTTAAGTGCCTACTTTCTATAGAGATGGTTAAATTAAAACGAAGATAAGAGTCAAGAGCCATGTCCTAGAATGCTCTTAAAATCTTGGTCATTGATTGTTTTGTATGTACAATTTTACAATTTTAAAGCTTCCAGGCATTACAATGTACTTTTAAAATTTTGCTTTTAAAAAATGTAATTCATTGCTTTTTTTCATTCTTCAGAAAAAAACCCAAAATCATTTCTCCCCTTAATGTCCAAAATAATAGGCAGTTACTAGTCTAAGTAAGGACTTGGGCAGAACAGCCAGGCCCCCTCTGACCAAAGCCTCTCTCCCCTCCAGTTCCCCCTTGGCGTCTTTTTTGGCTTCTGTCGTGGTCTGAAGTCCTCACCAATAGAATCTTCTTTTGGGTTAAAGCACAGGATCATCCCCTAAAGCGGTGCTTATGTGTACAGCAGCTGGGATGTTGGAAGTTAGTTAGTCCCAGGGGCCATCATGGACTCGGTTATCCAGTGGTTACTGAGGGGCGGACAGCTTTTCGAACTACATGGAGGTTAGAGCCAGGGAAGGCTGATCTGGTGGGAGAAGGGGTACAACACGCTTATTCATCCTTACAGCCCTGTGAGGAGACATTTGGTCCCTTTAGGTGCTGGGAATAACCATCCAGTCCATTGAGACTTGGAGCGAAGAATTGACGCTCTAAGGCTTTTGTGCAGGAGAAGCTGTCTCCTCCCCACCCCCCAGGCCCCATATATGGCCCTGGCAAAGGCTCATGCCAGCATCCCACCTGTCTGCCAGGTACCACCCGCTGTCTCACTGCTCCTGTTAGCACTACACATCCCAGGGTTCCCACACCACCCAGCCCAGACATACTCATGGCCTCACCATTGAAGCCGATCACAGCCTGAAGCTCCAGCTCGGCCACCTCGGCTGCGTGGGGGACCTCGGCCATCTCGGCCTTGGGAGAAATTTGGTTCTCCATCATGCGGAGACACCTCTCACTTTTCGCTCAACCTCCCGGACACACAGCGTCTTCTGGTCGTTATGGTAACGGACGTGCGCATGCGCATCAGATCCACGCCCGCGCTAAACCTAGCCTGCGGAGTTCAAATTCCTGCAAGCCCTTTTGCAAATACGCAGAGGGCTTCTTTTTCCTAGCTTTCTGCAAATTTAGGGGCTACCAAATGCACAGGGGGAATTACTCCTTCCCCAATGTAAAGAGTCTGTGATCTTTTGGGTAACTATGTAATCAAGTACTTCATGGCATTTAAAAATTGATCAGAGGATTTCTTCTGATGGAAAGACTGCCATAAAATAATATATAATTAATACGTCAGGTCGCTAGTTTGAAGCTGGGTAAAAAAGAGTTTCAGCTTTATTGAGGCATAATTTACATATCACAAAATTCACTTAAAGTGAGTTTTAGTGAACTTATACACTTGCGGAATGATCACCACAATCGTTTTTGTTTCAAGCAGGATACAATTTTGTTCAACAATTTTATTTTAACTGCACCCAGCTGTTCGCGTCTCTTAGCGGAAACATTGCTCCAACCTGCTGCTCCTCGGCGGAGCGCTGTCCTTTATCACGGGGCCGGAGACCCGCTCACCGTATATTCATTCACTTGGCAAACTCCAGGTTCCGGCGCGTTCGGGTCGGAGCGCGGGGTGTGACCCGCGCGGGCCGCCGTAGTCAGCTGCTGCGGCAGGAAGTGTCCCGGCGCGGCGGAGGCTGCACTATGGCTCCGGACCCCTGGTGAGTCCCCGGTGGTGGCGGCGGCCACGCGCGCGGGGGCTTTGGGGGTCGGCCGGGTTTCCGGGGAGCAGGCGACCGCTGGGCATTGCGGCTGAAGGCCTTTAGAGATCAGAGGAGGGGCCGCACGGACTCTCCCGCTGCCGGAGGTGTCTCTGCCGCATCCCGCCATCGGTGTAGGCTGGGGTGGCCGGGGCAGGAGACCCGTGAGCCCCTCGGAGCTGCGGGCTCGCGCTGGACTCTGGACGCTCCGCTCGTCCTCCTGGGCCGCGTCTGGCCGCGGGGATTTCCCGCCTCCTCTGCGGCGGGGCTGACTGGTGCCGGCTTCGCTGCTCTCCTGGGAAAGTGCAGCGGAAGCAGCCTTTCTGCGGGTGCTGGCCACCTGGTGAACCCCCTTATTTCACGGGATCAGGATCCATCGTCTCCGGCCAGTTAGTAACCACTTGGCATAGGACCCCGGTCTTGTGAGTCCTTCAGAAAACGTGTAGGAATCTGGGAGGGAATTAGGCATTAGTTGATGAGGCATTTTACCCTTACCCGAGTCAACAGCCCTTGCAGAAAAACAATAGCTGTTGAGTTGTTTATTTTATTCAACAATTAAATCCCCGAGGACTGGATGACGAAAGACTCAGTTCTGATCCCTGGGAACATATTGCTATAGTTGATCAGATTTGAGCCTTTTGTGTAATAATTAAAAACATTACAGTTCTGTAAAGTTCTTTTTGGAGTATATGTCTTAGGTTGACATCTCTAATTATAGTTTGTAATTGCTGAAGCCTGGACATCAGAATGGATTGCAAGATCCAAGTTAGCACTACCTAAGATCTAGGGCAGCAGTTCTCAACCTGTGGGTCACGACCCCTTTGGGGGTCCAACGACCCTTTCACAGGGGTCACCTAAGACCACCGGAAAACACATATATAATTACATATTGTTTTTGTGATTAATCACTATGCTTTAATTATGTTCAATTTGTAACAATGAAAATACATCCTGCATATCAGATATTTACATGACGATTCGTAACAGTAGCAACATTACAGTTATGAAGTAGCAACGAAAATAATTTTATGGTTGGGGTCACCACAACATGAGGAACTGTATTAAAGGGTCGTGGCATTAGGAAGGCTGAGAACCACTGATCTAGGGTATCTGACCCAATGGTTTGATTTAACACTAATTTTTCCGCCTATTTTTAACAGTTGTATACACCCCTATAGAAAATTTAGAAAATAACAACTATTTGCAGAGGAAAAAATTTGATATCTTTAGCTGTCATTTAGAATAGTAGCCATTATTGTTTTTTAAAATGAATTTATTTATATAAAATATATGTGTTACTTATAACACATATATATTATGTAAAGGAATATCTCTCTATATTATTAAATATTTACTGAAAATACATTTTCTTGCTGCATAAAAATGCCATGAATAACCATATCTTATTTAATTACTAGGGGCCCAGTGCACGAAATTTGTGCATTGGGGTGGGGGGGGCGGTCCCTCAGCCCAGCCTGCCCCCTCTCACAGGCCCATGGGGAGCGGGCCTAAGCCACAGTCTGGCTTCCCTCTGTGGGAGGCGACTGGGCTGATCACGGGAAGGTGCCAGCCCCATCACCCTGCTGCTGCAACCACTGCCAGCCACCGCAGCCGCTAAGATGTTTTCATCAACACGGACTCCAGTCCCTTCACCATGAAAAAATGATAACTTTCTTTAGGCATTTTCAAGATGTGTCTTTCATAGGATATGACATTTCCTGAGGATATGTTTCCATTGATTTTTAGAGAGTGTGGAAGAGAGAGGGAGAGACAGAGAGAAACATCAATGTGAGAGAGACACTTTGATTGGTTGCCTCCTGCATGAGCCCTGACCTGTGCCCCGGCCAGGGAGGAGCCTGTAACCTAGGTACATGCCCTTGATCAGAATCGAACTCGGACCCTGCGGTCATCCATTGAGCCAAACTGCCTAGGGCAGGATATGACATTTCTTAGCCCCTCCAGCAGCGGACCTTAGTTTTTTCCTCCAGGAGTGTGGTGGAAAAAACCTAGATCATCTTCTTGGATTCTTATAACCCAGGTTACCAAGAATACTGCAAGTGGCGGCGTACAGGGAGCTTAGCCAGTGCGCGGTCAGAAAAGGTGGTTACGCTCGAACTGGTTTGGCTCAGTGGATAGAGCGTCGGCCGGTAGACTGAAGGATCCAGGTTTGATTCCGGTCAAGGGCATGTACCTTGGTTGGGGACACATCCCCATGGGGAGTATGCAGGAGGCAGCTGTCAATGTTTCTCTCTCATTGATGTTTCTGACAGTCTATCCCTCTCCCCTCTTCTCTAAAAAATCAATAAAATATATTTTTTTAAAAAAAGAAAAGAAAAGAAAAGGTGTTTCCTCTGCAGCCCATGTGCAGAGGATCTCCTGCATTGTGTCCACTGGGGTAGGGGCGTGTCCGGCTGGCCACTGGGGGCATGCCCTCAAGCCCAGCGGCCCCGCGTTGGCTGTGTCCACAGGCTGGGGGATGTGGATCCCTCGGACACGGCATGCCACGGCCACCAGGGGCACACCCCAAGCCCGGCGGCCCCGCGTTTGCTGTGTCCACCGGGCCGGGGGGCGTGGACTTGAGCTGCTTGGCATGGCCGCTTGTGGTTGGCGCCCTGGCCACTTGTCCCGGGACCCAGCCCGCTTGGCACCCCCAGATGCTTGTCCCGGAACCCAGCCGGTGTCCCGGGACCCGGGCCACTTGGCATGGGCGCATGCTCAAGCGGCCACGGGGCGGGAACTTGTGGTGAAAGTTCCCGCCCCACCCCGCGGCTGCTTGTGCTTGGCGCCCCGCGGCCATTTGTGCTTGGTGCCCCTGCTGCTTGTCCCGGGACCCAGCCCACTTGGTGCTCCCGCCTGCTTGTCTCGGGACCTGGGCCACTTGGCGCCGGCGCCTGTAAGCCACTCCTGGCCAGGGCGTTCTAGGATCCCAGCTGCTCAGGGCCTACACACGGGCCTACAGGCTTGGAGTGGCCTGGGTCCCAAGGATGTTCCCAGGACCCAGGCTGCTCGGTGCTTTCATATGCAAATTAACCCGACATCTTTGTTGGGGTAATTTGCATACTCACTCCTGATTGGCTGGTGAGTGTAGTGGAGGGATGGTCAATTTGCATCTTTCTCTTTTATTATATAGGATTACCCTCTTTGTATCTGTAATATTAGGGTATTTTTTAATTTTTGTTTTGAATTATTATAAATACTATCCCTTTGTTCCATCTCATTTCCTTGGCTTACTTCTGAGAAGTGAAACTGTTGGATCTAAGGGGCTGAGCATTTTTAAGGCCCTTGATAACATCTTGCTAAATTGCTCTCCACCTCCTGAAAGCTAACTCGCTCACTTTATACATAAGGTGGGATATAAAGCTCAGAGATAAGGGCCCCAGGTTATCCATTTAGATTGGTGGAAGCTGTCACTGGACTCCAAGCCTCTTCTACAGTTAATGTTGAAAAAACATTTATAATTTTCCTGTTACTCTCTAGCTTGACTCAGTGGCTTTCTCATTGGACTGTTGAAAGAAGCAATGGGGGGACTTGGCTGTGCTAGCATCAGTTGCCTTGCAAAATGGGTTGCTGATCTGGAGGGTAGAAAGGAGTATGCACTGGGACTTTGAAAAACCTGTGAAAACAGACTTGACTGTGGCTTTGCTTCGTGCTGTTGAAAGTCATAGGTCAATGATGCTTCGCTCCTGAGTAGTGTGCTAGCATTTAGAAATGGAACACAGCAGCTACTGCCCTAATGGCATATCGCAGCAAGTGGTAAGTCAGCTCACAGTTTAATACAAGCACTGAGTGGTTATTGTCTTTGAACTGGCTCTTTGCTAAAGTTATTTAGCTTTACTGCTAGGGCAGCTTATTTGTTGATGATACACCATTTCTGGAAAAAGCCCTTTAATACTCATAACCCACTTTCTGGAATTATCAATATTTTGCCATTTTTGTTTCATCTCTGTCCTCCATGTCTTTGTGTGTGTGTGTGTGTGTGTGTGTGTGTGTGTTTGTGTGTTTTAATGTGTTATACACATATCAATTTAGTCATACATTGAGTATTTTTGTGGTAGAAGAGGGCCCAGTTCATAGTCTGGAAATTTCTTTTTTTCTCCCTCTTCCAGTTTTTCATTCTCCTTCATGGCATCTCTTACGCCTGAAAACTAATCATCTCCTTTTTCTTCACTCCTTATAGCATCAGATTAGTCACTAATCTCCTTTGTTTTTTTTCTTTTAAATCTCGTTTAGGCTGTCCATTTCTACCATAGTCCAGTCCGTTATAGCCTTATGCCTTGAAGAGAGTAAATACTGGTGACTGGTCATGTAATGAGCAGCTTGAGAAGTCTTGTACTAGTCTCCTGTCACTTTCTCTCCTTCCCAACAGCTTATGTAAATGGAGTTCAGGGTAATTTTCCTAAACTAGTACTTGAGGCACTTGTATGCTTGATGCGGTGATGAGGTTGCATTACCACCAGGCCAGTGGTTCCCAAACTTTGCTACAGATTGGAACCACCTGGGAGCATTTACAACTTGTCCTATCCAGGGGGAACCCCATACCGATTTAACCAGAATGCTGGGGGTGGGGGCAGGGGAGAGGCAGGAGTTGGTGGCGATTTTTTGTTTTTTAAAGATTCCCCATTTATTCACTATGTAGCAAAGTTTCAGAACCACCGCTCTTTATGGCTAAAGTGAGAATGCGAGGATTTCGGGCGAGACCCCTGGGATTTTGCCCTTCAGCAGTTCACTTAACCTCATCAACGCCTTGCTTTATGCGTGAAAGTAATACCTACAGCTCTGAAATTCTCTCACAAATCTAATCTGACTAGGCTGGTGTTCCAGGCTCTTCAGAAACTAGCTTCTCCTCTTTATCACTTTAAACTTTACCTTCCTACCCAGGGCCATTGTTCAGCAGAAGGGGTCAGACACATGTTGTTCCTTTCGTCTTCTGCTCCTTGTGCCTTTGCCACGTCTGAAAGGTGCCCCTGGCATCTGTCTGAATGAGAGGCTTGCTTTAACCTGGTGCCTCAGCCCAAGATGTAGCGTTTGGCCTCATGCTGTCAGGTCTGAGTGCCTTGATGACAGTCATTTCTCTGGATTTGGAACTCCAGAAACACCATTTATACCCCACATTTTGGTGGGAGATAATATTGTATCCTATTATTTATTTATTTTCATATGTATGTACTGGAACCACAGAGCCAGAGCTAAGCTCCTCTTCAAATTTTTTTCATTTTTTTAAGCTTTTATTGAATTTATTGGGGTGACATCTATAATAATTAAAGTGTAATATGCTAATTAGACCAGACATCCTTCCTGACGACCTTCCAGACAAAGCCGGGCTGAGGCAAGCCGCCGAGGTAAGCCGCAGCAGCTGGGAGGGCTGAGCCCCTTGCACAAATTTCGTGCATCGGACCTCTAGTTGGTTAATAAAATTATATAGGTTTCAGGTGTACAATTCTATAATACATCATCGATATAGTGTATTTATTCAGTGTTCATATTCAGTGTTCATTACACAAAATCGAGTCTCCTTCCGTCACCATTGATACCTTGTCTACCACTCTTTTGCTTTCTCTCACAACCCCTCCCATGTGGCCTGTGTCTATGAGTGTTTTCCCCCCCTTAATCCGTCACCTTTTTCACCCAGCTCTGAAACCTCCCTCTCTCCTCCGACAGCTGTTAGTCTGGTCTCTGTATCTATGAGTCTGTTTCTGTTTTGTTTGTCAGTTTATTTTGCTTATTATATTCCACATTTAAGTGAAATTATATGGTACTTGTCTGTCTCTGAATGGCGGCTTATTTCATTTAGCATAATGTTCTCCTGGTCCATCTATGCCAGGGGTGGGCAAACTTTTTGACTCGAGGGCCACAATGGGTTCTTAAACTGGACCAGAGGGCCGGAACAAAAGCATGGATGGAGTGTTTGTGTGAACTAATATAAATTCAAAGTAAACATCATTACATAAAAGGGTACGGTCTTTTTTTTTTTTAGTTTTATTCATTTCTAAGGGGGCAGATCCGGCCCTCGGGCCGTAGTTTGCCCATGGCTGATCTATGCCAATGGTTCTCAACCTTGGCTACACATTAGAATCACCTGGGAATATTTTTAAAATCCTGATTTCTGGGCCTTGTCCTCCAGAAATTCTGTGGCCACGCAGCATAACAAAGAAACAGAATTTCCGGAGGATGAGCCCCAGAAATCAGGATTTTAAAAAGATTCCCAGGTGATTCTAATGTTCAGCCAAGGTTGAGAACCACTGATCTATGCTGTCACAAAAGGTAAGATTGCCTTCTTTTTCATGGCCAAGTAGTATTCCGTTGTGTAAATGTACCGCTGCTTTTTTATCCACTCTTCTACTGCCGGACACTTGGGCAGCTTCCAAATCTTAGCTATGGTAAATAACGCTGCAATGAAAATAGGGGTGCTTATATTCTTTCTGACTGGTGTTTTGAGTGTCTTCAGATATATTCCCAAAAGTGGAATCACTGGTTCATAAGGCAGCTCCATTTTTAATTTTTTTTGAAGAAACTCCCTACTGTTTTCCACAGCACCTGCACCAATCTGCATTCCCACCAGCAGTCCACGAGGGTTCCCTTTCCTACACATCCTCACCAGCCCTTACTACTTGTCTTGTGGATAGTAGCCAATCTAACATAACAATGTGTGAGGTAGTTTCTCACTGTAGTTTTGATTTGCATTTCCCTTATACCAAGACTTTTCATATATCTGTTGGCCATTTGTATGTCTTTTTGGGGAAAATGTCTGTTCGAGTCCTCTGCCCATTGGATTGTTTGTTTTTTGTTGTTGCGTTGTATGTACGAGTTTTTTTTATATATTAGCCCCTTATTGGAGTATTGTTTGCAAATATCTTCTCCCATTCAGTTGGTTGTCTTTTTGTTTTGTTGGTTTCTTTAGCTATGCAGAAATTTTTTAGTGTGATACAGTCGCATGCATTGATTTTTGCTTTTGATTTCCTTGCCTTTGGGGTCAAATTCACAAAATCCTCTCTCAGATTGAGGTTCATAAGTTCAGTGCCGATGTTTTCTTCCATGTATTTTATTGTTCCAGGTCTTATATTTAGGTCTTTGATCCATTTTGAGTTAATTTTTGTGCATGGTGTCAACTAGCAGTGTAGTTCTAGTCTTTTGCATGTGGCTTTCCGGTTTTCCCAGCACCATTTACTGAAGAGGCTCTTTTCTCCATTGTATGGTTTTGACTCCCTTGTCGAAAAGTAGCTGCCCACATATATGTGGGTTCATTTCTGGGCTCTCAATTCTCTTCCATTTTTCTGTGTCTGTTTTTTTGATTATTGTAGCTTTGTAGTATAATTTGAAGTCAGGAAATGTGATACCTCCACTAAGCTGTTCTTTTTATAGATGACTAGAGACCCGATGCACGAAATTCGTGCAAGAGTAGGCCTTCTTTCCCCCGGCTGCGGGCACCAGCTTTCCTCTGGACCTGGGCTTCCCTCCAGCCGCTAGCAGGCACCTGGGACCCATGCTTCCCTGGCATCCCGGCCTCGTCCAGAAGGACGTCCAGTCTAATTAGCATATTACGCTTTTATTATTATAGATAGCGTGGAGGAGAAAAAGAGGAAATGTAGCAAAGTTGGGACCAGGACCCAATTTTCCTTTTGAGCCTCCCTCCTATTTTCTTACTGATGTGATGTCTTGAATCACCTGCTCTTTTTTGATATACATGAAAAAAAAAACTCATATATATATATATATATATATATATAGTATATAAATATATAATACATAAATTTCTTTTAAAGTACCTTAAATGTTTTTCTCCTTTTATGACTTTGATACAGGTTCTCCACATATGATTCTACTTGTCAAATTGCACAAGAGATTGCTGAGAAAATTCAACAAAGAAACCAGTATGAAAGAAATGGTGAAAGTACAACCAAGGTATGACCAGGAGGGAATTACTGGTAGTACCGCAGATGATTTGTTTGAGCTTTGAGGTCTGAAAACCCCCCGATTTCTGAGGGTGTGTGTGTGTGTGTGTGTGTGCATGCATAGTGGCCTACATGCTAGTTTGTTGCATTGACATTACAACCAGTTACTTAGTCACTGACACTAAATGAAGCATGACATCTCTTTAACTTCTCCTGTTTTATCTTAAAAGTTTCTAACCATTTTAGTCTGGTTCTAGGGTTGGTACACTTTCCCCCCCAGATAGTAACTCTTTTAGGTTTTGCAGGACCAGAGGCAATGTCCTCATTTCTTTGAGTGTTCATTCTTACCAAAAGAATAATAGTCTTTTTTTACACGTTACATTTAAAAATGTAAAAATTGATTCTCTTTTTCTTTGTCTTATGCTATCCTTTGTTTCTGTTTATATTCATTTTTAGGGCTTACTTTCCCCTTCACCTTGTTGATTTAATTTTAAATATGTAAAACATTTACCTTGCTAAAAAGTCAAAATTGTACACAAAAGTACACTCAAAAGTTTTGTTCCCATCTCAGTCTTCCACCCTTTTTTCACCTACTTCCTATACGTAAGTATTATCATTAATTTCTGGTTTATTCTTCCTGTATTACTTTTTGCAGAAATTAGCATTTCTGTGTGTGCGTATTTTTCTCTTCCTTTTAAATAAAATGCTCTTTTGTATCTTATTATTTAATAATATATCATAGAAATCTCTCTATTAATTCATTAGGGCTGTATAATATTCTAGTGTGTATTCTGGTGGGCATTTAGGTGGTTTCCAGTCTGTTGCTGTTATGAATAATGCTGCAGTAAATAGCTTTATGCTTTTTTTCTTTGTATTTTCAGAAGTGTCTTTTAAGGGTGAATTCTTAGAACCAAGTTATATGTGATTCAAAAAAAATTTTTTTTCCCATTGATTTTTTTTCCCCCCAGAGAGAATGGAAGAAAGGGGGAGAGAGAGAGAATAACAGTTTATCAGCTTTTTTTAATGCATTTGAAATTAAGGAGAGGGTAAGGAAGATTGGAGGAATCAAGGCAGGAATTGGATTATAGGATAGTTAACGAGATTATTTGCTCTCTTGAGGATACTACCCACTTCCAGCGGTATTCTGGTATATTTTTAAAAAGATATGTTTTTATTGATTTTGAGAGAGAGAGAGAGAGAGGAAGAGAGAGGGATAGAGAGATAGAAACATCAATGAGAGAGAAACATTGATCAGCTACCTCTTGCACACCTCCTACTGGGGATCGAGCCCACAACCCGGGCATGTGCCCTGATCAGGAATTGAACTGGTGACCTCTTGGTTCCTAGGTCGATGCTCAACCACTGAGCCACACCAGTCGGGCTTACTTATGGTATTTTAAAGGTGTGTTAACTTAGGTGCACAAGAATAATGGGCAGAGCCAGCTTAAAACCTTTTACTAAAGAAATTACAGGTCTCAGGCGTGACTATCACCATGACCTGCCCAGTTAGGAATTTATGATCAGATCACCCTGTGAGGTTACTTTGCATAGAACACCGTTTTTTTCATCCACAATTCCCCCTTTTGGTCATAAATCAGTCCCAAGGATTTGCTGGTGATCAGCCTTTTGGCTGAGAATAGTTCAGTCTCACAGATCTAGGAAGTTTCAGTATTGACATCATCTTGTTGACCACTGGTGATGGGGCAATGCCGTTACCATGGGATCTGAGTGGAGGCCTAATTTCTCCCCCAAAAGGAAGGGCAGGTAAATGGAAGGCAGTCAGGTCTTACGGCCTTCTCTGCAAAACAAAAACACCCTGGATCAGTTCTGTCCTGTGAATTATCATGATCCAGGTTTTGCCGTCTGTCTCATTCTCTGTATTTGGCATCTTGTATAACATTTACATAAGCAATAAAAGAGTATTAACAGTTATCTCATACATGTTCAATAATCATAAACAAATTATATAGAAAAAAAGATTAAGTATAACTATTATTATGAGTAGTATTATTAGCAGACAGGTGAAGACAAACAATTGGTTTCTGAGTTCGATGTCAATATGTAGGCCCTGTTGATGTGTTTGGATGGCCATCTACCTCTGTCTACCTATTAAGCTTTTCTTCTGTTTTTATTTTTTTAAACACATAAATCTTTATAATATTTGCGTTTTATTTTGGTGTGTTGTAGGGATCTGATTTTCCCCCATTTGATAAATTATTAATTACCTTCCCCTTGAACATCTATACTAATAAAAGGGTAATATGCTAATTAGACTGGATGTCTTCCGGACATCCTTCCAAACAAAGCCACCATGGTGGGGGCTGAGGCAGAGGCAGTTAGGGGCAATCAGGCTGGCAGGGGAGAGCAGTTAGGGGTGATCAGGCAGGCAGGCAGAGTGGTTAGGGGCAATCAGGCAGGCAGGCAGGTGAGCAGTTAGGAGCCAGCAGTCCCGGGTTGTGAGAGGGATGTCCGACTGCCAGTTTAGGCCCAATCCCACCTAAACCTATAGTCGGACATCCCCCAAGGAGTCCCAGATTGGAGAGGGTGCAGGCTGGGCTGAGGGACACCCCCCCCCAACCTCCCTGTGCACGAATTTCGTGCACCGGGCCTCTAGTATGAAATATTCTGTATCTCATTCACTGCACTTTCACACAACTGCACTATTTCTGGACCTTCTGATCTGTTTCACTAATGAAATTGTTAGCAGCTGCCAACATCATACTCTTGTAGTTTTTAATAAAGATTTACAATCTGATTGTTTAATGCCCCTTTATTATACTTATTCATGAATTTTCTTCATTTATCCTTTTTTTAGAGTGACCTTTCACAGCTTCATGAAAAAGAATTTTGTGCTGTGCCTTTACCATAATTACCACTTCCTGTCCTATAAAAGAACTCCAAATGGGATTTTGAATAGATTAAATTGGAGAGCATTTACATTTTTACAATATTGAGTCTTTTCTTTTACTCATTACTTCAGTAGTATTTCCTGCAGTTACTATAGGCCAGGTACTGTGCTAGATAATTTTTAGATTGTGTTGATATTGTTAATAATGATTTAAAATAATAATTTAAAAAATGTCCCTAGCTATTACTGAATTTAGGAATGTCCTTGTTTATTTTATTTTATTTTTGATCAGCATAGTGAATTTTTTCCTGTTTCTAGTAATCTTTCAGTTGATTCTCTTAACTTTTCCAAATAGACTATTAATAATCTGAATAATAATAATTTCATTTCCTTTCTAGCCCTAATGTATTTCTTTAATTTGTCTTATTGTATTGGTTAGAACTTCTAGACCAAAGTTAAATAATATTGCAGTTAAGGCAATAGTGCTTCATTCATAGTTTTCTTTCTTTGTTTTGTTTTTAAATAATTTCTCCCATACTGTATTAGTCATATATTTATTCTGTTTTTAATCATTAACACTATTTGCTTTATTATTAGATTTTCTAATAACAAACTATTCTTAAATTACTAGTGTAAATTCTACTTGGTGATGGTCTATTGTAATTTTTAATGTAATTCTGAATTTGCTAATATTTTAAAAAGACTTTTACATTTATAACCCTTAATGGAGATTGCCATGTGGTTTTCTTTTTCCATTATCTCTGTTAGTGCTTGTTACCAGAGTGTGTAAGCTTAAACTATGAATTAGCCATTCCTTCTTTTTCTATTCTTTGTAAAGTTTCTGTTAAATTATGGTAATAGAAGTTTTTTTTCCTGATTATAAAAGTAATCATTTTCCCACTACTTACATAACCACCCTTGTCATTTTGATGTATTTAGTTCCTGGATTGTTTTTTCCATGTGTGGGTGACATTGTGTTTTATGACTCGATTTTTTTTCCTTTTACTAAATTATGATGGATGGCTTTCTGTGTCAACAAATTTTTATTTCAGTCATATTTTTTAATGACTACATACTCTTTCATCTCTTGAATACTTTTCTTTTTTAATATGGAATGCTTCACGAATTTGCATGTCATCCTTGTGCAGGGGCCATGCTAATCTCTGTATCGTTCCAATTTTAGTATATGTGCTGCTGAAGCGAGCACTATCTCTTGAGTACTTTTGATCTCTAACTTTGTAGACTCTTCATAGGCCTGGTGTGTGTGTGTGTGTGTGTGTGTGTGTGTGTGTGTGTGTGTGTGTTTTGCTTTTTTGTTTGTTTATTTAGCTCTTTTTTTCTTGAATGAGGAGAAATTTCTTCTCTTTGGAGTTTCCCCATAAACATTGTGGGTGGTTTTCCTGTGGTTCCCAGAGGTATGAGAATAGTTAAGGTTAGACTTTTCTTGGCTGTCGATTCTTTTGAGGGTTGCTTGATGTGGGCAGCCTTTGGCCAGTTTCTGGTGTTCTGCTGTTAATCTGAGGAGGGAGCCCCTGCTTCCGCTGTAGTGTATAATTGCCATTTTTAACATGATAGCAAATGAAACCTGTGATAGCCTTTTTAAACATCTCTGATTTCACCCATGGCTGACTATGTTTAATTTACGTGGGCGACTTTATTTTTCACATTTCTAAGCTCCTAAGAAGCTCTCTCCACCCATCCTCCATCCTTTAAGGTAGCACTGTTAGTCACAAACAAAAATTTCCTCTGGGTTTATAGAACGATTGGAAAAAATTGACACAATCCTGGGAAAAGAGCAGTGCATGGTTAACATTCCCCGTGTGTGGAAAGAACACGCTGCTACAGAACTTTTAAATGAGTTATCCTAGCAAGTGCACCAGTGCGTTTAGAGAAGACTGGCCGGGATGGCAGCGGGACTTGGCGTCGTGCCGTTTGAAGCGGGTTGAGTGGATGGTGGAGTTCTCACTGCGGAGAACAAAGCCTGGAGAACACCGTCTCCTGCGTGGCTCCACAGGGACAGTCAGGATCAGAGGGTTGATTCTCAGGGGCAGAAGTCAGTAGGTTGTGAGGGAAAGTGACAGTTTCCAGTCGATGCCAGTGTTAGCCATGACTGGCTCACCGTCTGGGCAGGTTGTAGTGACCATTGAGATTCCGTCGACCCTGAGGTTGCATTGGGAGGATGCTAAGGGTCTCTTCCAGCCCTCCCTTGATTGAATCATAGCACACGAAGCAGCGTTTACATGATACTTTTAGAGGATCCTCTCCGTTTGGACTGGCATACTTAGGATGTGTTCTTTTCTTTGCAGCTTACCGTGACAATCAGAGCTTTGTTGCAGAATCTGAAGGAAAAGATCGCCCTTTTGAAGGACTTATTGCTAAGAGCTGTGTCAACACATCAGATGTATCCATGTAAACATCTCCACCTCTCTTCTAGAGTGGGAGGCAAAACAGCCTTGTTTTAAGAAAGGAAGGAATCTGGGCCACCCAGATTTTTCCACAGCTTAAGGAAGACCTGGTTTCCAAAATGTTGACTTCTATTTTAAGTGTCTGTTTCATGTTTTACAGTGAATATGCTAGCGAAGCAAGACATACTGGAGGAATTAACTTATTTGGGTGTAGTCCTGTAGTGCAGGAAGCTGATGCTTTCTGTCAGTGCGGTGTTTGCATAGAGCCTTGTGCTACTCACTACTTGTCTAGACTGCCTTGAAGGCCAATACCAGTAGAAACCATACTTTTCCCCCTTTTTTATAGATTATTGGGATGTAACTTGTTTGCCTTATTATTTTTCATACTGTCCGACACTGCCTCTGGTTTGGGAATTTTGAGGGGGGAGCAGTTGCTTGAAGCAAGTTGAGTCATCATCTCAACTTCCACCAACACTGTCAAGTATTAAAAATATTTTTTTTTTAGAAATTCATAATCTGGTCAATTTAGCAAAATACATGTGACCTCTTAACTAAATGAATCCTTTAAACCTGAGTTTCTATTGGTTTGGAAATTGACCTCAAACTAGTCCTCTCTTCATTTTTTTGAATTGTCAGTAGTTCATATCCAAAACCGAAATTGTAGTATCTCAGGAAATAGTTGTTACTGCACACTTTTAAATGGGGGAAAATGTAGGAATATAGTTTTTTAGCTAAAACTATAGAAAATGTTTTAAAAAATATTTTTCTCCAAGTGTAATCCCCTTTATGTCATCAGGGAGGTTCGTTTAGATTAGTTGCATGATTTTTCATATATTCAGTTATTAACCCACTAAGGTTTCAGAATAAAAGTTTAATTTCAGTAAGCAAGCGGGACCTTATTTTTAACTAGATTGGAATATTCTGATACACTTAGTTTTTAACTTTACCTTCCATTAGGTAAAGTATCTGGTATCATTTTTTCCTTACTGCACAGTTAATCTATTATATACAGAGTTTTTATTATCAAAATCAGCAAGTCTTAATATATAGCGCTGAAGTAGTTTTAGATTGGTAGGGCTATTTTCTCCACTTTAGTACTAAGTACTAGGCAGTCTGCACATGAGGTCAAGGTGTGAAATTTCATTTTGTGCTACCTAAAGCACATATATTTGAAAGGCAACTAAATATTATTACACAAGGCAATATTAACAACTATGTATTTGCTAACTTCCATTAAGGTAACTGATTATTATTCATCTAATAATATTTATGTGCAAAGCATGTAAGGCACAAAAGATTCAAATTAAAAACTCATACTTTTCTCTGTTGTAATAATTTCTGGTAGTTGTTAATTATAGAGAGTAGTAAGCATGCCACACTAAAAATTGACTTTGTTCTTCTACATGCTTGCAGTCTGACCATCTGTTGAAATCTCTTAGACTTTGGTTTTGTGGTGATCTCAGAATTGCTGAATTAAGCACTAAGCATTTAAAAATACCAAACAGAATTATTAAACAACATTATGAAAACATTTAAAGACCTTAATGTGGATAATTTAGATTTTCCTAGGAGAACTACAAAACTCAACTGGAATATAACAGCTTTCTTTAAATCTTATATATATTTTTCAAACAATTGGGTCTGTATCTGCTGGAATAAAACCAATACTATGAATGAAATTTATATAATCCACCCCATGGGGACCATCCACACCTCTGTCTTTTTAAAAAAAAGTATATTTTTATTGATTGCAGAGAGAAAGGGAGAGGGAGAGAGAGAAACATCAATGATGAGAGAGAATCATTGATCGGCTGCCTCCTGCATGCCCCCTACTGGGGATTGAGCCCCCAACCCGGGCATGTGCCCTTGACTGGAATTGAACCCGGGACCCTTCAGTCCGCAGGCCGATGCTCTATTCACTGAGCTGAACCACCGAGGGTGCAAACCTCTGTATTTTCTGGGGGACTTTTGATAGAAAGGAAAGAAGGAGGCAGTTTCAGTTACGAAGGCCTCTTTTTAATTCTCTGCCCCCCCCCCCCCCCCCCCCCCAGCTCTTCCCCTGATCTTCCTCTTCCCAGGTGTTTAATCAATTCTGTGGCAGTTATCCTCCAAATTTTAGGTCTATCAGATAGCAGCTCATTAGTCTAAATAAGCTCATATTGTTAGTTTGTTTGGGGGCTCCTTCCTTTCGTTACAAAAAGGGTATTGACTGTGCAATACCCTAAGTCACTGATGGAGTTGGAGAGAGAACCCGGCCTTTAGCAGAGGTTTTCGCACCGAGGAGAGGCACCTTTGCCCTGGACCCCGCAGCTGCGAAATGGAAGAGCTAGGATGCAGACGCGGGGCTGTCTGGCCCCAAAGCCAGTTGTTTAAAAGCCGAATTCCAATTGAGTACAAATTACACAGTCAACTGTCACTTGGCACATCTTCAACTAGAATTCCCTGTTCGCCGGTGCGCTGCTGCCGTGCCAGGACAAATCCTTTTGGTGCAGATGCTCCAGACCCTTCTTCATCATCACGGAGATTAAACAGGGTTCCCTGTGGCTTATTAGATCCACTTTATGATGTTGTAGTTCTTAGAAAAATTTTTGTCCATAAATCGCCAATAGAGTGACTTTTTAATCCTGTTTTCAGGGCATAATTAATGATGGGTGACTGTTTAAATGTGCATATTTGAATGCCACATTTCCTTACTGTGTCGGGTAGTTGAGAGTTTATGGTACTTTACTGAGTAAATTTATGCCCTTCTGCATTCGTGACTCTTTCCAAAGAACACTAGGAGTTGCCAGAAAGGTAAGTTCTATGAAAATGCCTTCCAAACAATTAAATTCATGGAGTTCAGGCATAAGATGTTATTGCTCTTTCCCGAAAAAGTATTTTTCTTCTGGCAAGAGTAAATGTGAAATTAAAATGGAGGTTCTGTGCTTTTGAATCGGTTAGTTTGCAATTCATAAACCAAAGTCCTGCAGCCAGAGAGTTTAAATTGCTGAAAGACATTAGCTTCTATTCACAGAGCTCCTTTGAGATGGAATTCTAATGGCCTCACCAGTTGAGAGAGGTGTGTGTGCTATGGGAGCTGCATGTGAAATTTCAGGTGGCACTCGAATTTCTTTGCGTGGCGCTTGGGTTTTCAAAGGCGGCATGTAAAGTGAATTTTAAAATCTCTTTACAGAGGGATTCAGTATCAAAAGACGTTTTGGTGTCCTGGGAGACGTTTTGTAGAATAATTTTTACAAATCTATGAATGTCTTTTCTCCACTTTGTATTATTTTTTTGGGAAAAGGGTAGGTAGAGAGGTGGATGGAAGGATAGACGCAGCAAGCACCTTCTAACACACCCCATAACGTACGTGCGGAGAGGCCAACTGGCTAGTTCAGTGACAGCCCCGCGTGGCTCCAGTGGAAGCGCTGTGGTTCTCAGACCCTGCACCTGCCCGTGACCGCTTTCACTGTGCCTAGTGATGTGAGAAAAATAAGGACCAGATCGCGTTTATGTCAGCAGAAACCTTTTTGTGTATAGTCTGTTACACGGTTCTTTCTAGTTTTTAGTGTTAAAATCTTTTCATCATGACAGGAAGAGCAGTTTTGTCTGTTGTGGTTTTTCTCAATGTCCATATGCGGCAAAATGGATAGTTGGTAACTTCATGTCAGTCTCCCTCCTTCCCACCTTTGTTTGCAAGTGTTTCTGCTCCATGAAATGCAAGTCCAGGCACCGCTGGAGAAGTAGGAGCAACACTGGCTTTGGACCAGACAGAACTGAGATGGAAGACCAGCCCTGCCACTCCCGCCAGGCCAAGGAACAGTGTAGGCCTTCTTGACCTGTTTCGTTCTGTAGCGTGGGAATAATCAGACCTTGCGAGGCTCTTGTGAACGTTGAAGGAAATATATTTAAAGCACCTCACAGGACTAGACCCCCATGTGGTGGTTGTAGAATAAAAGATAGTTAACGGCACTTTCTGTGTAACCTTGGACAGGTTACTCAATCTCTTTGTGCCTCGTTTTTTTCACCTGTGAAAGAAAAAGGGATAACAAAAGTAGACCTGGTTTATAGGGTTGTTGTGAGGAGTAAATTATATGGATAGAAGGTGCTTTGCATATAGTAAGCCCTCCTTGAGAATCAGCTGCTACTCATTATTTTACTCTTTTTTGAAAAATATTTTTGTATTGATTTCAGAGAGGAAGGGAGGGGGAGAGAGAGAGAGAAACATCAACGATGAGAGAATCGTTGATCGGCTGCCTCCTGCACGCCCCACACTGGATTGAGCCCACAAGAGAGTTGTACTGCTCTTGAAATTGATGTTCTCTAAGTAAATTAGTCTATTCTTAACTACTTTAAACCTGTAACTAGTGTCTGCTAAAATTTAAAACTTGTCTTTATTATTTTTATGATTAAACTTACTTTCTTCCTACATACTTCTTTTGTTAGTTTTTACTATGTGCCCTGACCAGGAATCGAACCGTGACCTCCAAGTTCATAGGTCAACACTCAACCACTGAGCCATGCTGGCCGGGCTATTATTTTATTACTAGAGGCCCAATGCACAAAACTCATGCAAGAGTAGGCCTTCCTTCCCCCAGCTGCCGGCACCGGTTTCCCTCTGGCACCTGGACCTGGGCTTCCCTTGCAGCCTGAAGGATGTCCGGTCAATTAGCATATTACACTTTTATTATTATAGATTGTAAAAGTTACAGCTACCACTGACCACTTCCTTGTCCTTCCTTACCCTGTCCCCACACCTCCAACTACCATGAGTGTACATACACTCAGTATGATCATTGCCTAGATCAGTGGTCGGCAAACTGCAGCTCGGCAAACCGCGGCTCGCGAGCCACATGTGGCTCTTTGGCCCCTTGAGTGTGGCTCTTCCACAAAATACCAACTTCTGCGCATGGGCCGCGAAGTTTCAGTCGCACTGTATGTGCGCGACAGCACGTGGTATTTTGTGGAAGAGCCACACTCAAGGGGCCAAAGAGCTGCATGTGGCTCGTGAGCCGCGGTTTGCTGACCATGGGCCCAGATGATTCTTTAGCTTCTTGTTAACAATCCCTACCCTCCAATCTCCTTATGCTCTGTCCTCTGAATAGATTAAAATAAACATAAAGAGGTGGAGTGTTCCTAGTGAAGTATTGGTTAGTTTTCCCAGATTCCAGGGAGTCTCTGGGAATATTCAGAATTAATAGTACCAGTTTTGTTATTGTTTTTAACAGGATGCTAAGAAGGGGCAAAATTCAATGCCCAGTCCTGGAAACCTCAGGGTGGAGAAGCCGGAGTGCTTTGGTGGCAAGCCCAGCAGGTGTGGTGGACAGGCCATGATTTAGAGCAGGAGGAGCTGTGCTAGCCCAGCACTGCCATCACCAACTGGGACTTAGCCCTCAAGTCCCGGTCAGGACAGGGGCGGTGGAACAGGAACTTCTGAGGCCTCTTCTGGCATTCACTGCCTGCGACTGTTCTTGTGTTACTCGTCTACAAAACCTACTCACCGAGCTGTACGGCTCTAAGTAAATCAGTCCATTCTGAACTACTTTAAGTCTGTAACTAGTGTCTGCTAAATTTTTAAACGTGTCTTTATTATTTTTATGATTAAGAGTACTCTCTCTCCACACACTTCTTTTTGTTAGTTTTTCCCAGTGACTGTTCTTTTCCTCGTCCCCATCCTATCGCCCATCGTTCTCCATAGTTAAACAGTGTTGATGCTTGGGACCTGTCATCCAGGCCTTCCTAGGCATGAACAAATGTCTGTATAGATGAAAGTACAAAAATCTGTTGACTATAAAGGTGTAATATTATACATATGGTTTTGAAACTATTTTATTAATTGGCACATGGCAGAGTCAAACGATAGAAACAGTATTCAATGAACAATAAGTCTCACACCCTGAACTCCCAGCTCCCCCTCCTTAGCTGTTTGCATATCCTTCCAGGAATTTTCTGTGTACATACAAACATATATACGGCTATCTGATTTTTTTTTAACACAGTGGGAATGTACTCTTTACTGTTTAGCTCTTTGCTGCTGCTGCTGCTTTTTTTTTATTTTTTGGTTTAATGCTGCATTTTGTAGATGATTCCATATCAAATAATTCACAGGCGCACTTAGTGAGTGCTCAGAAATGTTAATTATCATTATCATCGGTACATAAGGAGCTACCCCGGATTTCTGGGGGCTGCAAAGCATTTCGTTACGTAGATGCACTAGTTCCTTATTAATGAGCTTTAGGATGTTTCCAGAATCTGCTATAATAAGTAATGCTGCAGTGACCATCTTTCTGAGTCTGTATAGACTTGTGAATATATCTGCAGGAGAATTCCTTTTGGAATAACGTGCCATTTACATTTTGTTAGGCATTTGGAAGGCAGTGTGGCAGTTGGTTGAATCTGTTTACATTCCTGCCGAGCATGTCTGAGAGTCCTGATTCCTGCCCGCTTTCTAGAGCTGCCTCACCACGGTTCCCTGCAGATAGCTGAAATGGCTATATTATTTAAATTCACATTTCTCTTACTAATGCAGAATGAAGTGCTTTTCCTTTGATTAGAGTTATTAGTGTTTTTTTTCTTGTGCTCTGTTATGTCTTTTGCCTTTCTAAATTTGCCACTATTAATTTGTAACTTGTAATTTTTTTGGCAGGTATTTAAAATTTCTATGTAGCCAGATTTATCTTTTCCTTCATGCCTCTAGGTTTTCAATCCAGAAAGATTTTAACTCCTCTAAGATTATTAAAAAGCTCTCCTATGTTTTCTTCTAAGGATACTCCTGTCATTTTACTTTTTATGTTTAAATACTTGAGCCAGTTAAATCTGTGTTTAATTGTAACATTGGATTATAGTTGAGCTTATGTTTGCTTGGGTGTTGGATGCTGAAAACCACAGGTTGCCAGAGTAGGTTGAGCATAGTATTGTGATATAATGAATAGTTTCCACAATTTAAAATTCCCGTTTTGTCCTATGTAATTCATGTTATAGCTTCTGTCATTTCTGTTTTTCTTTTCTGAGGAACTTCCTTTAGTCAGTGGTTCTCAACCTTCTGGCCCTTTAAATACAGTTCCTCATGTTGTGACCCAACCATAAAATTATTTTCGTTGCTACTTCATAACTGTAATGTTGCTACTGTTATGAATCGTAATGTAAATATCTGATTTGCAGGATGGTCTTAGGCGACCCCTGTGAAAGGGTCGTTTGACCACCAAAGGGGTCGCGACCCACAGGTTGAGAACCGCTGCTTTAGGTAGAAGAAAAGCCTTCTGCTTTATTGACTATTTGCCACTAATTTGAACCACATCACTATTTATTCTTGATGTTGCTAATATTTGGCCCTTTTATTAATACAGAAGAAGTATTTAACCACTGTATCTTAGTTAGAGCTGCTACTTCATGGTCTCTATGATGGGTCCTTAGTGACTATAGTCAAGAAGGAAATGGAAAAGCGGTGGTAGTAATTTTACGCGGAAAAGCATGGCATTCTGGAATGTTGAGAGAATTCATTTATTATTATTTTTTTTTATATGTAAGGCCACTAACACTGCTTAGCTTCATTGGTTTGGGAGATTTATGACTTTTCTAACTGCTATCTGTTTTGGGGAAAATTTTTACAGGTTTATTTACTGTTTTACCAGCTAGCCAGCTCTTTGTATTCAAAATTAGCAACACAAGCTGTAGATTCACTGGGCCACAGTTTTTTCCTATTCACTAGGCAGTGGTGATGCTACTACTTGATTCTGCCAATTCCTTAGAATTTTGGGGGCCTAAATGCAGTGGTGCTGTCCCTCTTTTAACAAGAAAAGAATCTGTAAATCCAACGCAGCTGTCTCACTAGGGAAGGGGTCCTCAAACTACGGCCCGCGGGCCACATGCAAATATTGCATTTGTTCCCTTTTTGTTTTTTTACTTCAAAATAAGATATGTGCAGTGTGCATAGGAATTTGTTCATAGTTTTTTTTAAAACTATAGTCCGGCCCTCCAACGGTCTGAGGGACAGTGAACTGGCCCCGTTTAAAAAGTTTGAGGACCCCTGCACTAGGGTCTTCTAGAGCAGGTCGTGGTGGCCAGGTCTTTGAGCCACCAGTGTTTCAGCTCTAGGAAGACAAAGGGCACTTAATAGAAAAGTAAAAGCCAGATAAAACCCAGCATGTTGAGCTGGCTCACCTTTGTGCTTGCTTTTTGTGTATTTTGCCATATATATCTTTTCAAAGGTGTTCCTTAGCTTTCTCCATTCGTTCTCTTTATGGCAGAAGTTTTCTCCATCAATAGTTCCTTTATTTTGTTTTTTAGAAAACACATGGACACACACAGATACAGACACACACACACACACACACACACACACACACAGCCTAGAGGAGCTCATGTAGCTTGCTTCAAGAAAGCTAGTATATAAAACTTGGGATTTAATCCTGATTTATTTTTTTAGCCATAACTTATGAATTGTGCTGGAAAAGGGGTTAAAAAAGGTGAGATAACTGGTTCAAAATCATAGATAGTGTTCAAAATAGGACTTCTAGGTTTCCTAGTCCAGCATACTTATTAATAGATCAACAGATTAAAATATGATTATCTCCTTGTAATTTTCTTTAAAGATCATGCAGTGTATTTAAATAATGAACTGATGGTAACAACTTTTAGAGCAAACCTGATGCATGAAGTGGCACTTTGGTGTTAACATGGAAGGAAGAAGGCAATACTGGAACCTTTTTTTCCTCTTTTTCTTTTTTAACAGAGTATTTAGCATATTGATGTCAAGGAAAACACCCTTGACCATTGACTGCTGTAACTGAAAACCTAAGGAATCCCTGAGTCAGACTGCTGGGCAGGAATGATCGTTTCACTGCTGGTCACTGGGAGGAAAACACTGTTCACCTACTGCATTCCTCAGTGAGGAACTGTGTGATGGGTCCACTCCAGTGTTTGCACATCCCCTGTGACGGTCAGTCAAGGTTCTTTACTTGAACGACCGTGAAATTGAAGGTCAGAGCAGGAGAAGAAGGGTGGTTCAAATCTCTATGGACAGGATGGACTAGAGTCCGAGCAGTCAGCTCAGTTAATAACGTGATAGGTAGAAGGAGGTCATTCACACCCTGTTGGACCTTAACGAGATGTCTGCAGAACACAGCTTGAAGGGGACCGAAGACAGAACCTACTGGATGATCTTGTAACTCGAGAGAGACTGCTTCTGGCATCCTTTAAGAACGAGGGTGCAGAGCCCGATCTCATCAGGTATGGTGTTTCCGTTTACGGGGTGATGTGGGGGGGGGGGGGGGGGGCGGGAGGTTTATTTGCAGAGAACAGCTGTATTCTGAATGGCTTCATTCCTTTAATTAGTAAAATATATTCTGTTCATTTATAGTGTTTTCCTATCCTATCTGTTCGATTCCGTTTTCATTAATTTTCCAGGTTTTGCATGCCAGGTGTGTTCAGCTGGATCCCATCTCAGAGGAAGGGTGTTTAGGTAGAACGCAGGCAGGCAGCACATTTCTTTTGCATGCCTAGTTGAGCTTTCCACTGTTAGCTGCCTTTAAACTCCCGAAGTCATGTACTTATCTGGGGAAATGTTTTTGTTTTCAATTGGCAACTTGAAAAAACTGTCCCTGTAAGATGCAGTCTGTGGTTCGTGGAGTAGAACAGGTGGATTCCTCTCATGGTGGGGTGTCACTCGGGGTGGTGGTGGGGCCTGTGTCCCACTTGGGGGAAGCTGAGTGTTGCTTTGTGGGCGCCAGGTCTGTGGTGCCGTTTCTCTGTACACGTCACGGCAGCTCCTGTGTTGTGCGTCTGCCCCCTGGTGGTCACGGTGCATCATAGCGACTGGTCGGATGGTTGGACACTTAGCATATTAGCCTTTTATATGTATACTAGTAGCCCTGCGCACGAATCTGTGTGCGAGTAGCTCACTGCCACTTGCCTCAGCTGGCTACCCGCCCACCACCGCTGGTAGCTCTCTGCTGCTTGTAGCTCGCTGCCCCGCCCTCCTGTAGCCCTCCCCACTCCTAGCTTGCTGCCCCCCCCTCCTGTAGCTCTCTCTGCTTATAGCTCACTGCCCTGCCCTCCTGTAGCTCTCCACCACTTGTAGATTGGTTGTGACATTACAGCGTAATGGATAATTAGCGTATTCCTCTCTTATTATATAGGACTAGAGGCCCGGTGCAAAAATTTGTGCACGGGTGGGGTCTGGCAGGCCTGCGCTGATAGGAGCTGACCAGGCTGGCCAGAGGGGAGGGGATGTGGGAGGTTGGCCAGCTGGCCCTGCCCCCTGGTCGAATTCCCAGTTGAACTCCAGTAGAGGGGACAATTTGCATATTAGCCTTTTATTATATAGGATATCTATCTATCTATCTATCTATCTATCTATTGATTTCAGAAAGGAAGGAAGAGGGAGATAGAAACATCAGTGGTGACAAAGAATCATTGATTGGCTGCATCCTGCATGCCCCCCACTGGGGATCAAGCCCGCAACTTGGGCATGTACCCTGATTAGGAATCGAACTGTGACCTCCTGGTTCATAGGTTGACCTTCAACCACTGAGCCACACCAGCTGAGGCTCTTAAGTCCTTTCTGTGGAGCGTGTTAGAAATGCAGAGTCTCAAACCTCACCCCAACTCTACTGAGCCTGCAGTTTAACAAGACCCTCAGGTGATTTGAATGCACTGTCGATTTTGAGAGATACTGCTTTATGTTATTCTTAATTGTGACATTTTGCATTAGAATCACTCAAGAGGCAGATAAGAAATAAAAAAGAAGAAAGAGAGCAAGAGAAAAGAAAAGAAATACAAGTGTCTGGATCATATACTTGCAGAGTGTGAGTTAGTCTGGTGAGCGGCCTGGGTGGCAGGCATGCTGGGCATCTCGGGTGGTCCTAACAGGGCAGGTTAGAGCCCTGCTTTGTGTCATGGGTACCAGTAATGAGAGCTAATGGCTTATGTCGCTCGATTTCTGTGTGCCAGGCACCATGCTAAGCTCTTTTAAGAACCTTCCTCAGGAGATCTTCATTACATCCCCATTTTACAGAAGAGAAGTGAGGCTCAGAGGAGTCAGATAACTTGCACAGACTCTAAGACGAATCAGTCTCAGCGTTTGGGTTTCCTCTACTAGTAGATCTGTGTGTCTTCAGATGGGCACTCCACCACTGTGCAAGAAAAGCTGGACCAAGAGTTGGAAGGACCCAGCTCTGTTGCTTACTAGCCTTGCAGTTACCCAGTCATCTGGGCTTCAGAATCATTGACCTTGAAACGGGTAACTGTGTTCTGCCTCTTCCGTTGTTGTGTGGACCAGATGAGGTGATTGTTGTGTGAAGGACTTTGTAAGCTCTAAAACCTTTACAAACTAAGATGTTATTCTTGGAGCATTGTGCACTGTTAGGGTAGGAGGGGGTGGAGGGGTTCATGCTGCCTTCTTTGTTTCCAGGAGACCTGTCCTTGTTGCACCCCCTGAGTGCTGGAGTCCTGGCCTCCATGGCCGGTCTTGTTCCATGCTCTGCCCCTGGTCCTCTGCCCTCCCATTCTCCCCTTGCGAATCTTGTTCTGTTCCCTTTCCTCAGTGCCCAGCTTGCTGCTTGTTGTCCTATTAAACAGCTGTACATTCATTCTCACAGTGGAATCCATGGCTGGCACAGACTTGTCTTCTGGAGTAGTTTAGTGAAAACCTCTTTGAGTCTAAAGGAAATTAACTGATGGGAGGGTTTTAGGGAATATGGCAGATTGGTGGCAGAGGTGTTTGGGATGGAGGCCTGTTGAGAAATCTGAAGTCCAGCCACTGGGCCTGCCCCCTACCCCTCCTGGTTTAAGGCTAGTGCACATGGTGGGCCTAAAGGTCTTACTTGGTGAGCAGCTGGGGCGGCATGGGGCTGGAGGAGAATCTGTGAAGCAACGATAACCTATGTCTTGAGGGGTGGAGTAATTTAGGAAACCAGCCAGGCTCTTTTGTATTCTCCAAGATGAAACTGAGGATAGCACCATTGTAGACTTACTAGAGCAGCGGTCCCCAGCCTTTGGGACCTCACGGACCACCAGTTGGCGACGGCTATACTAGAGTCAAGCAGTGCGAGGACAGATGAGAGAATGAATAAATGTTCAAGTTAAAGTATGTGGCTACAAGTAGATTAATTTGAGGTCAGAGTTTCTGATCTTTGACTTTATTCACCTGCCTATGTCAGAGTATGATTTTTGCCTTTATTTTTTTAAACCCCTAGCCCCACATTTAAGCCTTCTCTTCCATCCCCAACTTCTATACCCGATCATTCTTCCTCTTGGACCTGGCCTTCTGAGGGTTGCATTCAGTTGTGGACATGACCGTTCCGGCTCACCACTCAACCTTGCCCTTTGCCTCCTGATTGTCAGGCTGCCTGATCATTTCTGATTCCCGTTGTCAGGGCCCTTTCAGCTCTGTCTTTGGGGAAGCCTCATTCTCTTCTCTGCCGGTCAGTATGTGTTATTTCCAGTGACGTACAAAGATTTCCTCAGTCCTCCTCACGGTCAGTTTCTACTTCTGGCTCCTCCAGGGTTTTTGTTTGCTTCTCTGATCTCTGGATTTCTCCCACATTTTTGTTTGATTTTGTAATTCTTGATATCCATGTGGGCTGCCTTGTCACTGGGCAGGAGAGTGGTGGTGGCATATGTCTTTCCTTCAGGGCCTGGCTTACAGAGACACACGGCCAGAAAGCCTTGCAGCACTTTAAAGTGTTGTAGACGTGCTGTCTATGGCACGTTGGTCATTAATGCTAGATTATCACCGCAGCACATTCACTGTTGGAGAAATGGGGGGTTCATCTTCCAATCAGTATTTCAAAGCCCCGTGATAACTGGCAGCAGTCCCCCGGATCAGTCTGCCTCGCCAGAACGCACTGGGAACCTGTTGATCTCTGTCCTCCTAGAGCCCCGACTTCTTTCTCTTTTTCCTGTTTCCTTTGTGTACTTTCTCCTCTTCCACTCCCACCCAAATCCTTTGCCTCCTCTCTGTCTTCCCCATCCCTTGTTCCAAGGAGTCCTTCTGCATCCCCCCTACCCGCTCTTTTCTCTTCCTCCTCAGAGGTGGCCTTGTTAAGGAGCGAAGAGTATTGTGAAACTTCAGCTCGGATTAACATTTCCTTTAGCTAGACATTCACGTGGCAATCACATAATTGAATGTGTAGCTGTCATGTGATGGGATGTTAGCTTTACCTACGGATTACTGGCCATTATTCGGAAGCAGAGAGCCTGATGTGAGACGGTGGTCTAAACAATTAATGGTTGACTAATTTAGGGCATTTGGAAACTTGTTAAAGAAATCTCTGCGTGACAGTGTCTCTTAGAAGATCAGCCATGACTTCTGAAGCAATGACACAGCTTCTCATTGAAAAGCCCACTGCCCCTTATATTTGAGAGTGTTGTTGAGTCTCACAATTACTTAAATCTTTGTCTGTAAAAGGAAAAATATCATCACATACTCCACTGCCTGTGACCATCTCAAGATCAGGTGATTAACTGGGCTGTAGTGGGTGGCTAATTGGCTAACCTTTAATCTTCACACCACCAACTATATGAAGGATTATAGGAAATAGGAAGTTATTTAAAGGTTAATATGGTAGTTATTTGTCAGGAATGGTATATTAACAAGTAGACTAATTGCTAAAATTAAGAGTAGAAGATGATAATGAAATGTAAACATTTAAATTTCACTTCAGATATTTGAGCTGCTAAAAAAAGTATCATACTTCCAGTATATATTGCATATCACAGTCAAGGAAAAATTAACATTAAGTATTACATCAAAAGTACTGTCCCTCCCTTATTTTAAACCATGTAATGTTTTATTGCAACTTTAAGTTTGGTTTATAAGAAGCATGATCTGTATCTGATAGTACTGAGGTTTTCTAAAGAATCATTGATTTATACTTTGTGTTGCTTAAAGTTATTAATACATGACCAGCCTACTCCTCTAGAAGTAGGTAATTGCTAAGAAATATTCACCTGCATCATTAGCCTGCTCATGTGAGACCATGGATAAGCGGTAATAATTTATCTTACATCCCAGAAATACACTAGTTTCCTAGGTTTTCTGATGTGTAAAGGATGTGCTGAAATCAGAAAGGCCTTGCTTTTCTCTCTGTTTCATTGAGTATAAGAATAGTTGAACCAAGGTTATATTAAGTACTAGAGGCCTGGTGCACGAATTTGTGCACCGGTGGGGTCCCTTGGCCTGGCCTGTGGGGATCGGGCAAAACTGGCAGTCGACATCCCCCGAGGGA